TATATTTTTGTAAAGGTAGTTCATGGCACAAACTGTTGTATATCAGTGTATGGTATAGTGTTTTATGTAACAGTTTATTGTGTCTGAATGCATGTGGCTGTTTATTATATGACTTTTCAGAGAGTGTTAATTGTTTTTTTATGAAGGAGATCATTGTATGAAGTTAGACGAAATTGTTTGTACGCAATCAATGTATGTTGATCACTATCACAATGGACATCTTATGTCTTTGTCATAATTCAACATATTTACAATAACACTTAATGTCAAAGGTCAAACTAGTACACATCAATTAAATTTATGTTTTTTTTTTTCAATTTGGTTCCTTTGCGAAAACGTAAAATGGCTTCCACGTGACTGTAACGTGGCGATGAGTGAGTGGAAAGTGAATAGAGACAGACAGGACTGCCATTGAACCTTGTGGTTAACTGGTATAAACCACATAATGATGTAGAATGAACATTATACAGGTGCCTCAGGAATCGATAGATTCGTCCACCGTGGGGATTACAAAACAAATTTTAGGAACAATTTACCACCTGTTGATCAGAAGAAAACTCTAACTGAGACAGATATATCGATGGAACTCTGGTTATGTGGTCGACTTTAGCACATCAAAAATGACTAAGGTGAAGTATACCTTTAATGACGCTACACCACCATCGCATTTATTCAGAAGTACACATAAATATCAGGACGTAGTAACATATGTGATATTTAAGTAAAAGACACGTTTCACACGCAACTCAGAAAATGTACATTTTGACGCGTTGTAAAGTAAAAAGACATTTTGTCATTTTGAATTCATGACATATTCATTGTACATATTATGACATCACAAATAAATTCAGTCAATGGAAAACGAGCCTGGGTATATGATAATAGTAACAAATGTGTAAGAAAAAGGCGAATTCACTGGATATCAGAACGATTATCTATGCATGTTGTTTCTTCCTTAATAAGTTTGTGTGGACATTTTTTTTTTTGTATAAACATGGCAACTCCATCATTTGAGACTTGTTGTAACTCGTTTTAATTGATACCTTTGTAGTTCTTTCACACGATATCTGATGGTAACGTCATCAAATATGCCTACATCGTTATTATTTTAGTTTTAACGTAGGGACAATGCTACTCTCGAATTCGATACACCTGAATTATTCATATATCTATTAAAGATATCGACAGCATTAATGTAAATTGTAGCTTTATAACGCAATGTATTGTTCTGTTGTATTTCATTTCCTGTGGAATTACACAAAAACATTTACACATTCAATCAGCATTGCTAATCGACAGTTATGGTTTAATTTTGATACGAGGTCATATATCATTGTACACATCACAGACTAGAAACATGTTTATCAATGTTGTTTACCAATAGCAGATTTAAAAGTATACTAGCTTAATATATCAAGAAAGTGATAACGTGAAATTATTTACTTGCATTGACCCAGGTTTATATGGCGGGTGTTGTCCAAGAAGCACAAGGCACTTATTCTTCCGGAACACAAGGTCTTATTCTCCTTGTACTTTTTTTCGGAAATATCCGTGTATATCTTTCTTTTGTTTTTTATATAGCAGTAGTTTTATTGAATTGGACTTTGGATTATGATCATGTTGACATGTTGCTTTTTTAACGGGTACTAATTCTGATAATTGATTAAAAATCATTTCATATTTCAGGTTTAGATTGTCTGGTTTAAGATATACCACCTGATTGATGACCGAAGCCATTGATCAGAGAGTGACTAAGTCATATCATCATGGATGTCAATTCCGGAATAAGGATATATTCTTTACGTTCTTCAATCTGTATTAAGTCAAACGTTAATTAAAATGAAATAAGCATTTCAAGTTTAAGTATGATTTTAAGAATTCTTTTGTTGATGGCATATCTTCATATTTTAAAGAGAGAGAGAGACATTTCTGCGTGAGATGCGGGAATGTCCACCTTGAAAGTGAAAATTTGAGATAAAGGACACTTACGATAAAGAAACATGTTGTTAGTTCACGAGTGGTGACAGAATCAACCAGCAAAAAAATGTAATGAAAAGCGATAGCAAGTATTTCAATCGTTAAATGAAAATGCTATGAATTCCATATGCAAAATAGAAACAAGGGATAAGTTTTCAATTGCTAGCCTTTACATTGTTACATCTCTCAACAGTGCTTTAGGGATCATTGCTATTCAAATACATGCCATTAAAATGGTCAAACATACTCTCCACAGTATGTATTTAGGAAATTGCTTAATAGCAATTCATTTCAAACCCCCACAAGCACTATAAAACTCATGATGTTAAGTCCATGGGGACACCCCCGGACAGCCTCGAGATGTTTCAAATAAACCCAGCCAACTGGATCACGGACACGATCAGTAAATGAAGAGATCATGAAATTGTAACGACTACAGGGCTTACCGCTATACACTGTATTGATTAGATAAACATTTAACGTTGTTGTATTTAATGACGAAAATGCATTTTTAGTTGTAGCATTTTTTACAGCCTCTGATTAAATGTATTATTGTCTGTGGCAGTCCGTACTTCATCGATATGATACAAAATTAATGTTTTCGAGTAGAACAATACTGATGACACATTCATATCTTATAACATATTGCCGGCAGTTGACACTTAATTGAAAAAATAAATAAAAAAAAAATCGGTCGATAGCAATAGCTCTCCACTACATTAGAACTCGCCACAACACGTATGTACCTTTCACTGGGCTTGATTTCGCTCTGATTGCTATTGCGTTTTGGTTATCGACTGTGTTTCATTGTCTAATCACGCAACAAATGAAAAAGTATAGAATATTGTTCAATAATTGTACACTCATTAACAGTGATTGAGAGCATTGCATTACAGACAAGCTTGTTATTGGATCTGATAATTATAGGTGCAGTCGTATGACTTTCATTCATAAAAGAGTTGGGGCAAAAACTTGTTAAGTTCATAAGATGGATAATCAATTGGCGTATCAATTGCGCGATACAGAAGACGGAATGGCAATGGTTTGATAAACATATACACAACAAGAAAACAAAAGCTAGCATGTTTACTTGGCAAAAACATGTGAGAGAAAATAATGACGTCTCTGCAATATAAGAGAATAGCAATCACTTTCATAACAAAGAGTGTTACCAAAATCATTCAAGCGTGAAACCCTGTATTAACGGAAGAGCTCCAGTACGTTTTCAGCAACTACCTTGTAACTTATGCATTTGATATAAAATTATCATATTGACACCAGTTTTCTAAGATTCTGGTTTATCAAGTCTTGCTGTATATTAACTTTATATTTTGCCACAAATAAAGATGGAATTGGCTGTAGGCACAATCCAGGCTAGTCAGTCTCGGCGTCGATTGCCATATCTTGATTTCAACGTTAATAACATTTACTAGTAGTTAAGTCATTTATATCAAATTTGTGAACGTCCGATCGTCCTCATAAAACGTCTTGTGCCTGCCCAAACAGTCCGCAACATGTTAAAAACCTACCAGTTGGCCCCGTTTTGTTGTCACGCAAAAGTAACTGGTCTTGTGCTCACCATCTTCCGTCAAATGGAACAATGCTTTGTGTTCAGATGAGTCCTATTTTCGACTGCAACACGGTGATTGGTTCATGTTACACAAGATTTCTATGGGAAATGACAATCAAACCGGCATTCGAAATATTCTAACTTGTCAGCAGCATGTTTGGGATATTCTTTGGGGAGAACGTTACAATCATCCGTCAGACTTGCAGAGAAGACCCAAACCTTTCACGATGAACTGAGCTATATTTCTCCTCGATATTATCTGGTGGTTTATGAAATTAAAGCGACGACACTGCAATGCTATTTACTTCTGCTGGCTATACCCGTTACTTATAATGTTACAATTTAAGGTAATCCCCAAAGCTTGGCAATTATCCATGGGAGTAGTTTTACCCGAATTGATCAAATACGTCAGTCTTACAGGATTCGTTAGAATTCATAAAGGAAAATACTTCATTAATCGCAGCATGAAGTGGTGTTACTTTTCGGTTTAGTATATAAGACAAGGATAAGGGAGGTCATTTAAGCAATAGATTGGAGAATCATATATAACAAGGAAAAGTGGAATCGTTAAAGAAGTAGCGTGACAACAGAGCATAACAAAGGGAGAGAATTTAAACACTTCGTTGGATAACCATATAAGGCAAGACAAATTGGTGTTGTTATATAGCTTTAAAATGCAAAACCTTGTTCAACTGTCACACTGAGGTGAATCTTGTGCAGTGTCGGCAGATTCTTACAATAAGCAGCCTTTAAGTCTGTCTTGCAGGCGTCTAAAGAGTTTATAGTGTACAGATCATGCCCACGACAAAAGGTAAAGATTGACCAAGTTTCTCGATATAAATGTAGGTTATTTTTATGCTTAAATAAAATCCGCGTTCCTGATTCCTGGGAGTCGAGATTTAGGATATCGGATTACGTATCAGTAATCAATTAAGCTGATACCTGATTTCAAAGAAGCGTTGTCATGGTTACGTTTTATAAGAAAGTCTGAGATTTTGATCAGATATTGAATTAGTGGCACGTAGCCGACACTAGACTTCCGAAAATCTAGACTATCGTAATAATACGATATCGTCGCCTGGAATGCGACATTTACTTTGGTTTAACAGAAGAGGGTGTTGTCCTCTTTTTTGCTTTTTTCAATGTTACGTAATGAACTCCAAATGGAATGGGTTACATTTATAACAAAAATGCAAAATGAAAAAAATTGAAAAAAAATCTCAAACAATTACTTTTAATGATTCATTTTTGCTAAATAACCCGCCACACAAACTATGAGGTGATTTTTATACACATCAATAACTCCAGTGGTCAATGACAAAAAGTATTAAAAAAAAAAAAAAGACGATATTAGATGGAGCTAGTTCACGAATACCGATACAAAAACCGATACCAGATGGATATTGTTCACGAACACCGATACCAGATGGAGCTAGTTCACAAAAACTGATACCAGATGAGCTAGTTCACAAAAACCGATACCAGATGGAGCTAGTTCACGAAAACCGATACCAGATGGAGCTAGTTCACGAAAATTGATACCAGATGGAGCTAGTTCACGAAAACCGATACCAGATGGAGCTAATTCACGAAAACCGATACCAGATGGATATTGTTCACGAACACCGATACCAGATGGAGCTAGTTCACGAAAACCGATACCAGATGGATATTGTTCACGAACACCGATACCAGATGGAGCTAGTTCACGAAAACCGATACCAGATGGATATTGTTCACGAACACCGATACCAGATGGAGCTAGTTCACAAAAACCGATACCAGGTGGAGCTAGTTCACAAAAACCGATACCATATGGAGCTAATTCACGAAAACCGATACCAGATGGAGCTAGTTCACGAAAACCGATACCAGATGGATATTGTTCACGAACACCGATACCAGATGGAGCTAGTTCACAAAAACCGATACCAGGTGGAGCTAGTTCACAAAAACCGATACCAGATGGAGCTAGTTCACAAAAACCGATACCAGATGGAGCTAAATCACGAAAACCGATACCAGATGGAGCTAGTTCACAAAAAAACCGATACCAGACCGAGCTAGTTCACGAAAACCGATACCAGATGGAGTTTGTTCACGAAAACGATACGAGATGGAGCTAGTTCACGAAAACCGATACCAGGTGGAGCTAGTTCACGAAAACCGATACCAGATGGAGCTAGTTCACAAAAACCGATACCAGATGGAGCTTGTTCACGAACACTGATACCAGGTGGAGCTAGTTCACGAAAACCGATACCAGGTGGAGCTAGTTCACGAAAACCGATACCAGATGGAGCTAGTTCACAAAAACTGATACCAGATGGAGCTAGTTCACGAACACCGATACGAGATGGAGCTAGTTCACGAAAAACCGAAACCAGATGGAGTTAGTTTATAAAAAAAAACCAATACCTTATTGAGCTAGGTCATGAGAACGGATATCAGATGGCACTAAAACATGAAAACCGATACCTGGTGAAGTTAGGTCATATCATGCAGAATATTAAGATGTAATAATCTAATTTTGTTGACACGTTGATATTCCTTGCGAAATTTAATTAACTTTAAAAATACAGCTTTACGGTGTAATAAACTTTATATAATTGCATTTTGTATATCTGCGTGATGAAATATAAATGAGAGCCCAGACTTCAAGGCATCAAGACACTAAAATAGACGTCACCTTTTTCTGACCCACACATATTGTAGAACCGTATTATCAGTCTTCGCCATAGATTTAGTTTCAAAAAGCTGGTTCCCAAAATAGAATTCATACTATCACTGTTACTATGGAATTTCTAAATAAAAAAAACAAATTTCAGTGGCTAAATTGCCTGAGCATTTTCGTACTATATAATGTAAATATATTGTACATATTGTCGAAAATGTCCATCCCAAGCCGACTCGAGGTAACCAGGTTTATGTACTTACGATCACCGTGGGCCTATTATGGCGAATCACTTTGAAATATTAAATATCCAGTTGAGATTTTGTTTTCCCGTTACTATTAAAGAAATTATATTTCATGAAATTTATCGAATCATGGGGCTAGCGTATCTCTTTTTTTTTTTTTTTTTTTGTTTTTTTGTTTTTTGTTTTTGTTTTGTTTTTTTTGTTTTTTCGTTTTTTGGGGTTTTTTTTACCACTGTAGATTTTCCTCTTTCGCATCTTAGGTTTCATTTGATTCACCGTTTGACTCTACTGTATATAGCTCTAAAGTTGTGATAAAAGGTGCTATTCACTCGTGTCTTTAATACAACATCCGTCTACACTGACAATACTTTATCTGCTTAATTACTTTATTGCTATATAGCATACAGATAACAGCTTTCAACAGTTTACAGTGTTTACAATATATTTATTGTGTGCCCTTGATTTCGTAAATTGATCTACTGACCGAACCCTATGTGTAATGTGACAGCAGTTCTTTATGTCAATTGTGAACATCAGCTTGTAACTGACATAGTTCTCACAGACGATGATCAAGTAACAAAACTCATTGAACTCCGATCGTAACATTGATTTAGGTTACACTTGTCAATGAGGCTATTTTCCTAATTGTTCAAAATATACGTTCAATCTACAACAACGACGATCAGTGTCCGTGCAATAGCTAACTCATATTTCTAAACAGACTACTAGACTGTTGTAGTTCTTCAGAGTGGACACATATGCTAATTTATAGCTGAGATTCTGAAACTAGTGCTGTCTATCCCAATTGGCGTATAATTGTTTTAATAACCAAAATATGTCTTGGTTTCTTGAGTTAATGAGGTGAAATAAAAAAGAAAGTTTCCTAGAAAACGCCTTATAACTCGTAAGAATCTGACGTTTTTCTGCACACTAATATTATTAGTGTATAATCAGATTCCGTTGCCTTATCTTTATTTCATATCTGCTCAAGAACCAAATTTACCATTACATGTCTATAAGCGTGTTTCTTACAATTCATAGACCGCAATAACACTATTAAACGAAAACAATATTTGATTTTCAATAGCTTTGTGTTTCAGCGGGAATAAAGGATTAATTTGAAAGGGAACGGCTTCTTATGCTGGTTCAAAAACCATCATCTGCTGTTATGTTTTTACAAACTAGGCCAAGGTACATGTTATCGTGCTTTTCACACGTCTTGACAGAAAATCTTTCTTAGTTTCTAACTGTAATCTCATTATGCTTGCTCTGGAGATTAACGAATGTTCCTTGTACTGTCACAAAGAACTATGCTGTACTCCTTGACAAGGTGACCAATTTACAACTTAACATCAGCAGTGTTTTCCTACACCTGTAGTTCCAATCCTTCTTCTCTCCTTTTTCCATCACTGTGTACAATATCGCTTTACCGATATTGCAATCTCTCTGGTATTTGCTCTATCCATTATCAAACACAGCATATTTTTACCAGTGAATAATGAAAGAGCGTCGACATTTGTTCCAATAAAGCTACAGATATGTACAGCGGTAGCTGAAGTATCATTCTAGGTTTATACCCAATATAATATCTAAAAGGAGTTTTTCAGCACCAGACAGATACGTTAGACTGTCATGTCTAATGAAATTTTCTAATTATTTTCTCCTTTTACGAACTAAAGCGTTTGTTATTTCCTAAATTGGATGAGAGGACAGTGTGAGTTGTCGGTGTATCCTAAATTGGATGTGAGGACAGTGTGAGTTGTCGGTGTATCCTAAATTGGATGAGAGGACAGTGTGAGTTGTCGGTATATCCTAAACTGGATGAGAGCACAGTGTGAGTTGTCGGTGTATCCTAAATTGGATGAGAGGACAGTGTGAGTTGTTGGTATTTCCTAAATTGGATGAGAAGACAGTGTGAGTTTTTGGTATTTCCTACATTGGATGAGAGGACAGTGTGAGTTGTTGGTGTATTTTACATTGGATGAGAGGACAGTGTGGGTTGTTGGTATTTCCTACATTGGATGAGAGGACAGTGTGGGTTGTCGGTGTATCCTACATTGGATGAGAGGACAGTGTGAGTTGTTGGTATTTCCTACATTGGATGAGAGGACAGTGTGAGTTGTTGGTATTTCCTAAATTGGATGAGAGGACAGTGTGAGTTGTTGGTGTATTCTACATTGGATGAGAGGACAGTGTGGGTTGTTGGTATTTCCTACATTGGATGAGAGGACAGTGTGAGTTGTTGTTATTTCCTACATTGGATGAGAGGACAGTGTGAGTTGTTGGTGTATTCTACATTGGATGAGAGGACAGTGTGAGTTGTTGGTGTATTCTACATTGGATGAGAGGACAGTGTGAGTTGTTGGTATTTCCTCAATTGGATGAGAGGACAGTGTGAGTTGTTGGTATTTCCTCAATTGGATGAGTGGACAGTGTGAGTTGTTGGTATTTCCTCAATTGGATGAGTGGACAGTGTGAGTTGTTGGTATTTCCTAAATTGGATGAGAGGACAGTGTGAGTTGTTGGTATTTCCTCAATTGGATGAGTGGACAGTGTGAGTTGTTGGTATTTCCTACATTGGATGAGAGGACAGTGTGAGTTGTTGGTGTATTCTACATTGGATGAGAGGACAGTGTGAGTTGTCGGTATTTCCTAAATTGGATGAGTGAACAGTGCGAGTCGCAGGTGTTTTTTAATGTTAGTAAATTATTTATTTCTTATCTATAAATTTTCCCTCATATTTACTTTAAATCAACTGTCATTATGGACAAGTATCTGAAAACTTGGGGAGCGGCAAGCGGGTTAGTGTGTGTTTGCACACAAATGTTTTATCCAGCTTTAGAATAAATTTCCCTGCTGATTGTTGTAATAGTAAAAGTTTATCGGAAAAGGGCTTTTTACCAGTTTTCATTATTATTATTATTATTTTGTAAATATTTGTTTTGCTCGTTTTCTCACGTTATTATCAATATAGATTTCTATCGAATAATGATGTACTATTTTCGCGATGAGAGAAAGTGTGACGATTTCTCAATAATACCTTTATGCGTGCTACCAGCTGTTAATTAAGAAGATTACACATACAGAGTCTGTAGACACATTAAGAACCCTGACGAAATTACACACAGTATAAACAAGTCGTAGATAGAACAAGTGACGTCATGTCTGGCATGTTATCTTGCTGTGACTAAAATCCTGTTTTGTGAAGGATATCTCTTTACGTGGAAAATACTCATTTAGTGGGAAACAATAAATTGTACAAGTCTAGGATATCCTAGATCTCCCAACAGACTATTGCCATTCCAATGGGAATCGTCTGCGACCCTCTGTTGGCTGACGTGATTTTTTTATACGAGGCTGAATTTATTGTAGAACTTATCAAAATAGGTCACAAAGACCTTACAAATCCTTCAATTTCACTTTTCTTTATGTCATTTGAATCTATTGATGACGTCATGTCTTTGAATAACAAGGGATTTATTGACAACGACCGTCATATATATCTACCAGAATTTAAAATCCATCAGCAGCTGTGTGATAAGCGTTTCATTTAATTTCCCTGTTGTGAATGTTCTGTGTCTGGATAGCAACATTCTTGCATCCCCAACCTATGGTGTTTACATGTCCCAGCTGATATACAAAGGCACTGACGGACAAACTCCTAACACATGGTTTCAAAACGTGCAGGTTGATGGGAATCGTAAACAAGTATTATTTGTTAAATGAAGTATCAGCACGTTACATAAATAAAGAAATATCATCATATCAAATTCTTGTTTCAAATCAAAATCACTCAAAATCCTTTATCTTCTCTGCTACACTGGCGATAGATCTCGGTAACACGCAATTCCTTCACTTTTTCTTGACACTTTACTGAAAAAAAAACTCTAATTGGAATTTCAAACTCGCTATGCTTCCTTGTATGACGAGCATTGGTCTTTGTTTATTGACGTTTTCCGTCTATCCGGTGTTGGAACGGAAAAGGTCTGGTACAAATTGTTTGATCGAAAGGGCAATATATTTACTTTATTAGCACGTGTCTCAGTTACTATCGATTGAAACTTAAGTTCCGCCAGATTATACATAATGCTTCAAGAATTTGGATTGCCTTGAAAATATCAGTCGTCACTTCAAACGACATCGCAGCTAAATGAAAATGCTGTTTTACTTTTTGATTGTAAAACTATACATTAAGCGTTGGTTGTGAAGTAAACACATCAACCAAACAGAATATGATTAAGCGTAAATTGTCTCCTCACACGGATGATAAAACATTTAAACAAAAAATGTTGATACCGACACATCGAAATATTTCAGTGCAAACCTGAGTGTGTTTGATATGGTGTTCATAGAAGTCTATCATGCACTCCAAATAGTTTGCAATTGAGTTCACTTGAGTTCCATTGTTCTTATCTCATATTGCTTCATTGTGACGAAATCCAATGGCGTTTCAAGAGTCAACTTCCGGGAATTGTTCAAGAATCAGCAAATAACGTTTATGATAATGTCAACAATTTGAAACACCATTGTATGGACTATTTAAAATTCATATAATATAGCCTTGTGGGGGAGCGGTTTGTTTTTATATATAATACTGCCTTGTGGGGAAGCGGTTTGTTTTTGTATATAATACTGCCTTGTGGGGGAGCGGTTTGTTTTTGTATATAATACTGCCTTGTGGAGGAGCGGTTTGTTTTTTTATATAATAGCGGTTTGTTTTTGTATATAATACTGCCTTGTGGAGGAGCGGTTTGTTTTTGTATATAATACTGCCTTGTGGGGGAGCGGTTTGTTTTTGTATATAATACTGCCTTGTGGAGGAGCGGTTTGTTTTTTGTATATAATACTGCCTTGTGGAGGAGCGGTTTGTTTTTGTATATAATACTGCCTTGTGGGGGAGCGGTTTGTTTTTGTATATAATACTGCCTTGTGGGGGAGCGGTTTGGTTTTGTATATAATACTGCCTTGTGGAGGAGCGGTTTGTTTTTGTATATAATACTGCCTTGTGGGGGAGCGGTTTGTTTTTGTATATAATACTGCCTTGTGGGGGAGCGGTTTGTTTTTGTATATAATACTGCCTTGTGGGGGAGCGGTTTGTTTTTGTATATAATACTGCCTTGTGGGGGAGCGGTTTGTTTTTGTATATAATACTGCCTTGTGGGGGAGCGGTTTGTTTTTGTATATAATACTGCCTTGTGGGGGAGCGGTTTGTTTTTGTATATAATACTGCCTTGTAGGGGAGCGGTTTGGTTTTG